TTTCATGTTTTTAGTATTGTAGTATTTCCCTAGTAATTTTTACAGAAGTATTGGACCGTGATGTATGAGAAGTTTAAAATAAAACACACAACTTCTCTTAACCACAACATAGCTTAAAGGAGCAGAGTAGGCTCTGCCGGAAGTGCTCCAGTAGAGATCGTGGTCAGAGAGCAGCACGGGCTTATGCAAGATTAGCTGATGGATGGCATATATACTTTAAAATGTTCCATAAGAATTTCAGTTAATTGACCAACTTCTGGTTCTGATTTTGGTGGCTAGGAGGACTTTTACTGTAGTTAGGATACCTTGGGGAGAGGTAAGGCTTATCTCAGAAGCTTCTGCCATACTTAAGCATCATTTTGAAAGTGGAGCAGATCCCTGAAAGGGAAGGTATTAAATTGTAAGACTCGCCTGTGGGCTTTAACCTGCACATTGAGCAGTTTATTATAACACTGACAGGAGAAAACATTTCTTCTCTGTCCCCATAAACATGACATTACAATTGCAGTGAATCATCTTGCCTGACCACTCTTTAAAGTGCTTCATCAGCTCATCTTCTTGATCACGATACACCAAACCAAATTCACTGCTGTCGAGTTGGTCCCCACTCCTAGTGACCCCTCCTTGGGTTTTTGAGGCAGTATCTCTACAGAAGTAGATTACCCAATCTTCTGAGGAGTGGCTGGTGGATTTGAACCTGTAGCCTTCTGGATAGCAGTCAAATGCCTTAGGCACTACGCCACAAAACCCAACTTGTAGGAAAGAAAGGCAAGCAGAAACCCCCAAGCCTCAGCTTTTATTTGAATGTGCCTTCTCTGGAACAAACATTGTCATATATGTGTTTACTGTTTTACTGTCCTCTTATAAATATTGTAATAATCTTTCCCTCTTTGATCTTGATGTTACAAACACACAAATGTGAGCTATTAAAACATTTTGGATATTCTTACTTAAAAATTTTTTATGATTGATTTTGTCTTTCTATTTTAAATTTCTTATCATGGATCAAAATCGGAAGGAAGGTTGGGCAATCCTACTTCCATAGTGATACTGCCTCGGAAACCCAAGGAGGGGTCGCTGTGGGTCGGGGCCGACTCGATGGCAAACAACAACAACAATAATCATGGATCAAGGTTCAAGTTTTAGTATACTGTTTCTCCAAAGATAAGCAAGATGTTTTCTGTTTGCTCAGATTTGGTTTTGAGAATGAAACTCTAAACCATCTGGAATATGAGGTTGAGAAGGCTGTACCTGAGTTGCCCATGGGGTGATTTCAGGACCATTTTATTAATTTTTCCCCTCTATGGCTCTATGTAGGAGCCCTGGTAGCATAGTGGCTAAAGCACTTGACTGCTAACCAGAAGGCTGGCGGTTCAAACCCACCAGCCACTCCTCTGAAGGAAGGTTGGGCAATCCTACTTCCGTAGTGATACTGCCTCGGAAACCCAAGGAGGGGTCGCTATGAGTCGGGCCGACTCGATGGCACATAACAACAACAACAACGTGGCTGTATGTAAAGGAGCTCTGGTGGTATAGTGCCTAAGGCATTTGATTGCTAACCAGAAGGCTGGCGGTTCAAACCCACCAGACACTCCTCGGAAGGAAGGTTGGACAATCTCCTTCCGTAGTGATACCGGAGGGAAGGTTGGACAATCTTCTTCCGTAGTGATACCGCCTTGGAAACCCAAGAGGGGTTGCTATGAGTCTGGCCGACTCCACAGCACATAACAACAACAACTAGTTGAAATACTGCAAAGCTGTAAATGTGGTTGACACAATGCTGTGAAGTAGTACTCTTACTTACGGTTTATGTTTTGCTGGAGGCAAAGGAATTTTGTTTCATTGTGTACCTGAGGAACCTCTAGGTTTGGGGACTTTTCCTGGTTGCAGTACCTGATTTAAATATTACATACTATTCACTGTATTTGTAACCTGATGTGTGATTTCTGAGGTGTGAAAACATTTACCGGTGTTTTATTTCTTAGTTTATTAAGAATTAGAGTTAACAGATCTTTTCCCCCTTGGTTTTATGCAGGTGACAGTGGTTTTTCTCTTGTAGTTTATGAAAGTGACCAGCTAAGCCACTTGTTTTATTTATTTCTGGGTGGCTGCAGTGGGCTTAAGGGAGAGAAGTTTTGTCTCTGATGGAAAAAGCATAAAATATTTATTCTGTTTGTAGAAACATTGGTCCAAGAGGAGTTTCTGAGGAAACCCAGTGTGGTTAGGCTTTGAACATGAATAGCTCCTATTCATCTCTTAGCTGATAGAGACAAGTGGAAGATTTAAGGATTAATAATATAGTAAACTATAAAACCAAAAACTAAACTCACTGTTGTTGAGTCGAATCCAACTGATAGCAGCAACCCTTCCTTGGATTTTCTAGCTGGTATCTCTGTGGAAGTAGAGTGCCCCATCTTCCTTCTGAGGAGTGGCTGGTGGGTTTGAACCTCCAGCCTTCTGGTTGCAGTCACATGCCTTAGGCACTACGTCACCAGAGCTCCCATAGACAGTATAAAGTTTTAGAGCAAAAGTTACAAACTGATGGCTCATGGATCAAATGTGGCCCTCAGACAATTTTCTTTGGCACATTGGGTATTTCTACAACTAGTTTCATTAGTTGCTAATATCTAAACTTGTTTCCCATGAATATCTCATAGCACGACATAAGAAAGCAGTGGCGCTCTTTAGATAAGGAATCATATGTTTGCCACAGTTAAAACAGTTTCGTCTAAGGTGGTCCTAGCCAACCAACCCTTATGCATTTCAGTGTGCAACCCCTGTTCTTGAGCCTCTTGAATGCAAAAGGAATAGATTTAATACTGCTAAGGTAGCTGAACTTTCAACTTGGAGATAATTAATAGAAATTAGTGTAGTGCCTAAGGCACTTGACTACTAACCAGAAGGCTGGCGGTTCGAACCCACCAGCCACTCCTCAGAAGGAAGGTTGGACAATCTACTTCCATAATGATCCTGCCTTGGAAACCCAACGAAGGGTCACTATGAGTCGTATACAACTCGATGGCAGTGGGTTTGGTTTGGTTTTAGTAGGAGCCAAGATTTTGTAGTGAGGGTTTTGGGGGGAAGGTGGGATATGAAGAGTTGTCAAAGAGGAATCCAAGGTTTTTACCTGAGAAACTGAAGAGTAGTATTGTCATCAAGTGAGACGCAACAGGCTGCAGGTAGGACAGGTTTGGGACATGTTAAGTGTGAGGTGTGTTACGAGAACATCCCAGTGGAGGTATTGATTAGACATTGAACTGGGAGAAAAATGTCTAAACTGGATATATAAATGTTGGATACACTGATGACCTCTAAAGCCATGAACTGGAAAGAGATCACCAAGGGGGCAGAGGACCCGGGACTGACCCCTGGGCCTGTCAGCCCGGAAATGTTTGCTAGAAGACAGATTTAGCAGAGATCAAGAAGGAGCACCCAGTGAGGTAGGATGAAAACAAAGGGAATAGGGGTCCTGGAAGAGAAGTGTCTGAGGCCAATTTTACCCTAGAAGCCTGAGACAGATGCTGTCTTGTAGGTGGTTTATTTGGAGACCTGTTAATAAGAAGTAGAAGTTGAAGGACTGGGCCAAGTGAGAGAGGAAGGAGGGAAACTGAGCCAGGGGTACGTTAGTGAACTGGTTGCTTCTGTGAGCAACTAGGGCTTGATCCTGAAGAAGTGCTCTGAGATGCCATGAAGACGATGTCGCAGAATCGGCTGTCCAAGGGGCAGGAGAAGGGGCATGTATCTACTAGGTTCCATCTCCATCGATAAGAGGTTGCCCTCATGATGAACGTCTTCACATTTCCAAGTTTGTGTATTTCTCCGGATCCCTGAAGAGTTCCTGTAGGCATCTCTTCCTGCAAAGCCCCAGAGCAGGAAGTCAGCCATGGATGGTGCAGCTGGGGGAGGTGCCTAAGCTGGAGTGAAAAGGAGAGGGGAGGCGCGAGAGGTGTCTGCCACCGCCCACCCCCTTGCACCGTGCAGCCTGCTCCAGAGCTTTCAGGGTGGTGGCTGGCCACAGTCTCTACACTGGACTTAGAACAGGAGGGCAGTGGACCCCCAGTACAGCTGGTCCCGGGGCTATCTAGAATTGACACTCACCGTTTCCGTTCTTCTCCACCAGTTCTAGATTTCCTTACCTTTAGCAGCCCTTCAGTAGGTTGAGGCTGTGGATTCGTGAGTGACCCAGGCCATCTTGCCCAAAGGATAAGTTCCCTTACTGGCTTTATCCTTGTGGGGCCCTGCGTGCTGAAGCTGCCTGTTTACACTGCACCACTGTCGTGGGGGCACTGGTTGAATCCTGCGGGTTCTCCCTGGATTCCTCCCTGTCCCCGTTGTGTAGCAGCAGCCAGAAGTACTCACGGTTATTAGGGCCAGTGTAAGCACTCCACCCCTTTCCTTAGTATGCTTGTCTACTGGCATAATGTTTCTCTCTGCCATGAAGTGGATTCTGGCTCATAGCTACTCCATAGGACAGAGTAGAAGCGTCCCATAGCGTTTCCAAGGCTGTAAATCTCTGTGAAGCATACTTTCTTCATCGTTCTCCCACGGAGCAGCTGGTAGGGACAAAGCACTGACTTACTGGTTAGTAGCCGAACGCTTTAATTGCTCCATCACCAGAGCTCCTTCTTTTGCTAGTAGGCCCCTTGTTGCTAGAGTTTAGAGGGACTACCCATTTTCTTTGCCTTTTATCTCCTGCCTCATAGCTGTGATGGGCATGATGGAGTTTTCTTTTTATACTTATTAGACTTTGAGTCTCTTCATAGTGGTAACTAAGGTGACTTACCTCCTGTTGGTATGACTGTGTGACTTAACTGTGGGTAGGTAGGTCCTCCCTAAATAACGTGTGCTGAGTAAGTCTAACACATACACACACTTATATACACACATATATGATAGACATGCATGTGATAGTGTTCATGAACTTTATTTTTAAAGTTAGCTTTTAAAACTTGTTTAAAATTATAATAATATTTTAGACTCTTTTTTCTTTCTTTAAACAGATAGAAGGACAAGGAGAGAATCACCAGCACTGGCTGAAGGTAAGTATGTCTTTGGGGGAAATGATAATCCACTACAAATGAAAAGTTACGATTTTAAAAAGTACATTGGCTAAATGTAATTAAGGAAAATGATTATGTGCATAATATTGAATTGCTAAACGTATCTTTAGGAAATACCCAGTATTGTTTAATTTTGACTGGAAATAGGAAGTAGAGGGGAAAATGTAATTAGAACTCTTTTGTTTCCAGCTTGCTCTCAGTAGGAGAAGCATGTTTCTCTTTGAGGACCTTTTCAGTCATTTAGCTGTCACCAGTATGGTTGATCAGTAAAGGTCTAAGTTGTGATTCTAGTAGTAGAAAAGTGTTAGCAGTAGGATAGTGTGTATAGTTTTCTTCGGGAGCTGGAAGGGGAGACACTTGTGTATTACCTTAATTAAGAATTCTACCTATTTATTTGCTTTAGTCTTTCTTTCTTTTTAAATTTTAAAAGTGAAGAACATTTAACATAAAAACATAAAGGTTCCCGTACAGAGCCCTGAGTACTAAAATGTTTATAATGCTGTGTTATTTTCACTGTAACAAGTTAACTGGTGTTTGTGAATGTAATTTTTCTGTAGACATTCTTTCTGTTTGTCAAGAAAATGTTTCACTTGGAATCTCTGTGATCTTCTTCCTTGTCATAAATGAGGCGTTTGCATTTTAGAATGACCTTACTTTTATCGGAGCTGATAGGACAGCTGTCACTGTTGCCCTTAGGAGTCACGGTTACCTCGCCTGCTGTGTATATTATAGGTAGACTCCCTCGGGATGATGGTGGTATGTGTCTGAAATGAAATATGGTTGAAAAGAAGATTAAAAAGGAAACTAGTATATGAAATACAGTTCTTAAAAAAAAAAAACAAACCCAAACTCACTGGCATCGAGTTGATTGCGACTCATAGTGACCCCCACTGGGTTTCCCAGGCTGTCAGTCTTAATGGAAGCAGACTGCCTCATCTTTCTTCCTTGGAGCAGCTGGTGGGTTCGACCACTGACTTTTTGGTTAGCAGACAATTGCTTTAACCACTACACCACCAGAGCTCTTTGAAATATAGTTAGTAAATAGTAAGAATACAAGTTTATGATAGAGTGGTGTCTATGCTCCTCCTGTTAGAGAGTAAGCTTCGGTAGCAGATCTGCTAATTACTGCAACTTCAAATAGTTACACGTCTGCAACAGTTGTATTAAATATTTGCTTTCCATGAGTGACAAATTCATGCTGTTTCTGTTACTGACGGCTTTTGTAGTCTTGATGGACAGAATTGTTACATGAAAAAGAGGTTAATGAAAAAGTTTCTGTCCAAGTTCACAGACCGCTAAATTCTGTCAAGGGTCTGCAGATCCCAGATGCAGGACTCCTACCCGTGAACAGTCAGCTGCTCCTTCCTTTCTCCATTTTACTTGACTTTGTGTAGTTTTTTAATGTTCTGTGTGAGCTAATCGTAAAGAAGAGTAGTTACCCACCCATTCCTTAAAATACATCCTCCTGGTGTAGGCTAGAAGTTCTTGAAGCAACCTTGAAGAAACTCCTTCTGTTTGTGATCAGGTGGAATGGAAACAGCAGCATGGTGTGTGGGAAAGGCGGTGGAGTGTTTCCTGCAGAGAACTCAGTCTGGTTGAAGGAACATGAGATAAACATGGAAGGATTCAATGTCAGCGTCAGATGCCAGGCTTGGTTTCGTGAGCAGTGTCGTTAATTGCCCCGGAAGGATGCGGAGAGTAAGTGCCCTCTACTTGTGCTCCGAAAGCACAGCAGAGGGAGGCTGGGGGCTGCCCCGGTGTTTCTCAGTCACCTCAGTGTACGAACTGCACGGTGAGGACGTGCAGACTAAGCTGAGAAGAGCCTGGAAGCGTTACCTACGTTCATTGATACCTGCCTGTGCAGCAGCTTGTGGGTGGCTGAAAATGAAGGGCAGGGGCAGACCTGTTCAGGTGAGCTGACAGCAAAATCAGCATACGATTGGTTTGAAGGTGGACCTGCTGGGATGTCTCATTTGTTTGTGGTACTTGGTTTTCTCTAGCAGTGTGATCTGGCCCTAATGTATTTTAAAGATGTTCTCAGAAGTTGCAGTGCCAGGGTCCTTGGGTTGAACCCAGTTCTTTTACTAATCTTGCTTTTGCCCAAGTCACCGCTTTCTCTGATCCTCAGTGAAGACATTGAGTGACGTGATTTCAAGTCATTCTGTGGGCTCTTCAGTCTGGGCTCAGGTTTTCTATCCTTTCTCAGCCTTCCTGTGTCCTGACAACTTTAGGTATAATATAAAAAATATTTAAAATAGTTTAGTTTTTTTTAACTTACTTTTTGAATATACATATGGCCCTTTTTAGGTGCTTGGTGAAGCTTTAACAGCTGTATGAACCAGATGGCATACTTAGTTCAGAAGGTTATGTGATGCACACAGACTGCAGCTTGGTCTTAGTTACTGGTTTTAAAAGTCTTCAAAATCAGTATGTTTCTCAAAGAACAATAGATTACTTCCTTTTTTTTTTTTTAATTGTTATTTTTTTAAGAAGTCAGCTTGTGTAATGTTACTTATTCAAAAGTATCAGGCCCCATACCATTTGAATATAGCCACGGAGTCTGTTTTTAAATTTACCTGGGGGGTCTGTTTCCACTCTCCAACTGAAGTCACATTAATATTTGTTTAAGTGATGTAATGAAAACATACATTCAACTATGATCCCACCTCCTCTGCAAGACCAAAATGTATTGAATGACCTCTGCTGGAGTCTGTTGAGCAAGAAGTACTGATTGATGAATGTAGAAAACCATTCAAGTATGTATCTTCAAGTTTCCAAGAAGAGAGAAACATGTTTAATACTGGCTTTTGTATTTGGTTCGATTATGATGTGCCTGGGGAAGTTGTATTTAAGAGAATGATTTTAATTCAGGTTCAAGAACAAGAACTGTTTTGACTGCCGCCTTGTAATTTCACTGTATTGAACTCCTCCTTTAGCATGCCGGGTTCCAGCAGAATGACCCGACCAACAGTAGAGGACTTTTCTGAGTTAGCACAGTTGTCTTTTCTTTGTCATCATGCTTTTTTTCCCCCCTCAAAACTTTGTTTTTGTTTTTCCTGACTTAGAAGTTTGAGTATTGAATTAATTTATTTTGAGAATATTTGCAAGAAGAATTTTCTCTCTTTTTGGATGAGTTTTGTGTTCTTGTGTGTATGAATAAGAAGTAGTATGCAAAATGGTTCGGAAGGAAGGTTGGGCAACCTACTTCCATAGTGACACCGCCTTGGAAACCCAAGGAGAGTTCGCTATGAGTCAGGTCCGACTCGACGGCACATAACAACTACAACATGCAAAATGGTTAAGAGAACTGGGTTTAGATCCTAGCTACTGCTTACTGCAAGTTACTTAATCCTTTTATCAGGTTCCTTATAAGTAAAATTACTTTGTTCTTGTTTGCCATTGAGTCAGACCTGACTCATAGCGACCCCTCCTTGGGTTTCTGAGGCAGTATCACTACGGAAGTAGATTGCCCAACCTTCCTTCCGAGGAATGGCTCGTGGGTTTGAACCACCAGCCTTCTGGTTAGCAGTCAAGTGCCTTAGCCACTATGCTACCAGAGCTCCTAGTTACTTAATCCTTTTATCAGGTTCCTTGTAAGTAAAATGAGGATCGTGGTGCTAACTAACCTCATAAAATAGTTGGAGATTTTATAAGATAATAGTGTATTTTCTTATAACACACTGAACATAGGTATGTGTGTATTTAGCATAGTTCATGGCACATAGTAAGTAAGATCTCGTTCATTAACTTGCACATTTATTTAGTCTGTACAGTGTGCAAGGAAGGTGATTTGGATACAAGGATAATTAAGATACAGCTGCAGGGAAAAATGATTCTATTGCCCTTAGTTTTTTTGGTGTATAATGTTACACCAAATTATATATAATGGTGTATAATCCACTTCTAAACTTTAGTCTAGAAATTGCTGGGCAGGAGATATATATTATTAATCTTACTTATAATGTCATGCGCTTGTGAGTGTGTGTGTATATGCATGTGTGTCTTGATAGTTAACTTTCTTTTGACCTCACTTTAATATATTTGAAGATAAGTTCAGTTATTTTGTGGGTTGTCAAGTGGTGCAGGGATTGTCTTGTTTAGTTTGGTTTCTGGAGGACAGTGGGAACTAGGACCAAGAAGAAGAAATGACAAATGAGTAAAATCTCAGTAAGAATTGTATGCTTCCTGTTGATCATGATCCTCTTTCTACATAGTGGTAAACGTAGGTGCTTCGTAAATACTGGCCGAAGTTTCTAAAAAAATTTTGTAAAAGTTTCTACACACTCACTAAAGTACCTAAAAATAATGTCATTTGAAAATGGAATGGCTTACTCCTTGGGTGTAGTTACGCCGCTAGAGTATTTATGCAAAGGCTAGACCACTCCTTAATAATGGAAGTTGTCAAATAAATTCACGCTAAGGTTGATGAGCAGGCACGTGGCATCCATTTTACTGTGGATCACCCCTTCCTGGTCTTAGCAGACCCTAGGTGCATTGGCTGTTGCTTATAAAGCTACTCTGCCTGATGTCTTCCAGAGGGACAGATGAGAAGAGCCCCCAGTCTGCAAAACAATAAAAACAAAGCCCCACTTCAGAGAGTACCTTGTCTTTTAACTCGACAACTAAGAAAGGTGAATGAATTTCAAGACCCTCCTATCCATTTCAGGGAACTCCGGTGGTGTGGTTGAGCATTGGGCTGCTAACCAGAAGTTCAGCAGTTCAAACCCACCATCCCGCCATAGGAGAAAGATGAGGCAGTCTGCTTCCATAAAGACTAACAGCCTTGGAAACCCCGTGGGGCAGATGTACTCTGTCTTGTGATACCGCTTTGAGTTGTAATCGGCTTGATGGCAGTGACCCATTTCAGTCATACATTGGTGTAAATGGAAATGATACTGTACTCCTAAATGCCAAATGCTGGCAGACTTCCTAGAGATGAGACACCCGGGCTTCCCCTCTGAACCTTCAGAGGGGAGGAA